GGTCAGAGGTTCTCAGAATCTACTGTGCATCAAAATGACATTAAGAGTTTATCACTGGCAGAGTTTCTGATTTAGTAGATCTGGGGTGGGGCCTGAGAATCTTTATTTCTAACAAATTTGTGAATGATGCTGATGGGCTTGGTCCAGAACTGCATTTGGAGATTTGCTGGGTCAGGTGAATTTCAAGAGAGCTATATGTTTCTAGCATAAGAAGGCCAGGAACAGTTTAAAATAGTATTTGTTACATAGACACGTCGTCATAAGAATGGTGGACTTGGTTTGAAGGAGAAAAGGATAGAGAAAAAGACAAGTATGAAATAGAAAGGAAAGTTGATAGAGTATAAAAAGGGATGGGGGACAGTTAGAGAGCCAAAAATGGAAGCCGGAAGACACACGAAAACCATGAGACAGAAAGAGAGAGAATGGCTCACAAACCTACAGAGAGCAGAAAGAACATTGGGAGGAAGAAAGTCAAAGAGGTGTGAAAAAAAAGAAAACCATTAGGGACAGATTCACCTCTAACCTGATTTTTGTTCCAATTTAGTATTGTTTTCACAAAAGGTAAGCCCATGCTTGTCATCAGAATTTAACTCTAACTATAAAGAAATGGGTCTTAATGTTCATTCCAGTGTTATATGCTCTCTAGTAATATTCACCAGGATTCAGAGTAACAAACATAATTAAGGGCCAAATATACAAATCTACATAATTTATCTCCCTTCAAAATAAACTATAGTTACATTTTCAGGAGATGTGAGAAAGCTTACCCATTTTCTGACTATCCCAGAATTACTAGGACACACACACACACACACACACACACACACACACACACACACACACACACATACACACACACATCCCAATGTTTACATATAACTACAAAATTGGGAGGGTAGAAAAATATTATTCCTTCAAATATCAGCTACTGTTTCAATAAGATAAGTAAACACACAAATCATGGTTGTTTCCAGAAATATTTAAATTGCTTACCAGGCAGGAATTCCTAAAGTCATGCAGGTAGAGACTCAGAGTCACTGAGCATTAACATTAATGTTTGTGGGAAAAGCGATTATAATACCAACTGTGGTAGAATCTGCAAAAGTGGCTGCAATCACTGCCCTCCCTCCACCCAAGCCCCTCGCATTGTGACTCTACGGGTCCCCTCAGCAGAAGGGGTGGATTTTACTTCTCAATACAGGTCTGGCCTTGGGACTTGCTTTGACAAGGATGTGGTAGAAGTACTAGTGTGCCATTTCTGAGCCTGAGCTTCAAGAGGCCTTGCAGATTTCTGCTTCACTCCCGGGTGTCGCATCTCTACCATGACAACAAGCCTGGCTTAGCTTGCTGGAGGACCAGAGCCCAGTTACCCGGTTGTCTCAGGCAAGGTCCCAGGCACGACAACACAGCTGATGCACACAGATAACCTCAGATGCACGAGAAAGTACAACATGGCTGATCTTAGACAAACCTAGCCTGAGTTGTTGATCCACAGAATTGCTTTCTAAATAAATGGTTACTACATCTTAAGTCACTAAGTTTGTAATATAGTTACAGCAGACTGATACACCAGCTAACATTTATTGAGCGCTAATTATATGTTAGATACTCCTCTAAGCATCTTAGATATGTTATCTCATTACATCCTCTTAAAATCCTTAGATATACTCTTGTCATTCCCATTTCCCATAAAGAAAATAGCCATATTTACGCTCCTCACAGCCAGAATTTATGCGCAGACCTCCCAGCCTGATCTCTGCATTCCAATGCCACACCGCTTCCATCTGAATTTGCTGGCTGGTGAAGCCTGAGAAACATATCACGTTAAGGATTGTTACTTTATCGATTGCTAACGTTTGTTACTTGGTCTCTTTAAACCTAGCACTAAGGCAAGAGTTTCCAAACTTTCTCACTGAGAAACTACTTTTGGAGGTGAATTTGCTGCTCCCACCAAGATCCTTTTCCTGCCAACATTTCAATTGGTGGGGGGCTCTCAGGTCACTCTCCCTACTTGAATTGCTAGCAGGCTGAACGGGAAGTGGTTGGCAAAGGGCAGAACACTTTTATCTTAGTTTTCAAAAAAATCTTGTGCAGTATCGAGTTACTATATATAAAGAAGAGAACACACATACACACACACATATTTAAAGAACACATATGTATAGTCTTTTAAATCAAAGGTAATTGTAGCTTAAGCCCCCCATTTTAGATAGTGTGCTTATTCTTGAGTTACTGCCACCACCTAGAGACAGTGTTTTGAAGTTTAATTTCTTCAAGGTGGTGACTTTCAAAGTCTGTAATACTCGAGGGAGTGATAACAGTAAGGCCTCTTCAGTTTATTAGTTATTTATACAGCACTTAGAATTGCTGTACATGTCGCTGTCCTCCAAAAATAGCACCTTATTTCCCCATGAGTGAGAAATCTCATTATTTTACATTATTAACCAAAGCTCATTTTTCCAGTGAGTCAGATCCAGCCAATTCAAGTTTTTTCGTTGTTGTTGTAAATTTGTGTTTTTGAGGCTTCAAGACATTTGAAGAAAATTCTAACTGAAAGCCTAGTTTTCACAGATATTCTAACTGGCCAGAAGCCCTCTTTGCTGGTTTTATAGGGTCATAAATATGGCTGCTGATTATATAGTAGGTAAGCAGGACTATTGTCTTTTTTTTTTTTTAGGAGGTCCCCCTTTTCCTTCATAACTGTAGTAAATAAAAGGTAAGAAAGAGCAATAGCAGGAGGCAGGATGGGTAGCCTAGGAAATTGACAACCCCCTCCAGGATACAACGTGAGGCACCTCACTGATTAGACAAGTAACAAGTCACTGTATCCGTCACTTGCAGCTGGAGAAGAACAAGAACCAGTTTCACCAAGCAGGGCTAATCTCCTTGAACGGGGCCTGACCTTTAGCTAATTTGAATGTCATTATAATCTCATTTACGTCGCAGTTACTATGGCTCCCAGCATGCATTTGATGCCAAGACAATTCCGGAGGAGCCAAATAAGGAAGAAAGAGCAGGAAACAGAGGCTCCCATCTACTGGGAGGCAACTGCAGAGCCATATCAATGGGATGTCATCAATTTCAGCTTCTGGGAGGTACAAATACCTCAGATCGGGATTTTCTCCATGCGTCCCATTCTCTGAGTTTGCCTGCACTTCTCTCTCAAATGTTACTTTCATCTCAGTAAACTCCTTGTGCTTTCTTGCATCCGTCTTGCTCTTGAATCCTTTCTTGTGTGTAGACAAGAACCTGGTCGCTGCTCGGGGTTTAGTCCTCTCTTGGACATCCCCGTGAGCCAGCAGTAACACTTAAATAGTGCCTGCTGTATGCCTGCATTATTCTACATTTAATCTTTCCAAACTCCCTTACTGTAGCTACAATTTTTGAACCCTTTGACAAGATGAGGAAACAGACAAAGAGAAGGTAAGAAATATTCTTAAGTTTACATAATTGGTTGCTCTGTTTATACCGGAGCTCAAACCAGGAAGTCTGGCTCAGAATCCATATTCCTCATGTCTACACCATTCTGTCTCTTAAGATATTAACTGGGCAGACGTGCAGGTTAAGAAACTTAGTATGTACAGAATCATGACTTTCCTGAAATACTGGCTGTGATACTAATACATAGAAAAGAAGGGACGTTTTAAGCTAATGAAATAGTAAATGTGAGATTTCCTTAAGTGACATATATTTTGTGTTGCAATGTATTTTTCTCTCTTTGCATTTCTCTTTGTTACAAGAGGTCTTGATGACTTCGCCTTCAGCCCTTTGTCTCTGGTTCTTGCTGTGACTACAGGCGCTTTACTCACCACAGTTGCTCTCATCAGCCTGGTTCCCACAGTCGTCCACACCGTTACAGTGGAGAACCTGAGGCAAGCACTTGGTGATATTCCCACAGGGGAAATAGCCGAGGGAGCAGTTGACATCCTGTCCACTCCCATGAGAAACTGGGATGAAAGAGGGGAGGAAAGGTTAATATGAAAGCATTGCAAAAAATGGTTTCCCCCCCAATATCCTGTAACCATTTGGTCTTCTCCTCTCAGCATGTACATCCTTCACCTTGCTTACTGGCCTGACACCAACTCTTTTCCAAGAACTTCCACTGTAATAGAATGTTCTTTTCTGCATTCTCAGAAGATGCCAGGATTCTCCCTCTTTGCCTCTTCACATACTGTATCCCAGCTGGTATGTGTTCCCATCCTTATTTTTCTATGAAATGCCTGCCAATACTTTACAGGTTAGTTCAATTCCCTTCTTTTCTTTCAAATTTTATTTTTTTCAGCCAATCATTTTAAAAATCAGGAATTTATTGCATTATCTCAGATTCAAGGCTGGTCTGGTACTAGAGGACGAAGAAGACATAGAGGATATCAGGAATGCATGGGCCATGTGCTCATTCTCGCGAGCAGGTTGGACAGTTCCTAAGTGTGAGGCCCTGGGCATACAGCATTGAATGAAACAGCAATTTTCACATTGACTTCTTTCACTTACTAACATGCATTTAAGGTTCCTCCATTTCTTTCATGACTTAATAGCTCATTTCTTTTTGGTGCTGAATAATATTCAATTGTCTGGATGCACCACAGTTTATTTATCCATTCACCTACTGAAGGACATCTTGGTTGTGTCCAAATTTTGGCGATTATGAATAAAGCTGCTATAAACATCCACGTGCAGGTTTTTGCATGGGTATAAGTTAACTATGCCATTTTAAAATTTCAAGATTTATATAATTTCAAAGGTTATTGTAGACTCCAAGTATAATTCTGTTGCTTATTATTCTTATCAAGTTTGTAAATGTTTGAAACTTTCCAGAATAACTATCAATTATAATGAAATAAAAACAGAATAGTTTGAAGTTATGTAAAAATGTATTTGTATTCTAGTATCAAAACATGAAAAGAATAAAAGTGTCTATTTCCTTTGTAAGATACAGTGGGTCATTTCAATAATGGGGCAAGCAGTTTTTCTCAGAGAGAAGCAATTTATTTATGTCAGGTTTTGGCTGTACTTAGTTGTTTTAGAGCACATAATTTGATGAATGAAAGTCAAATCTATGAAATAATGAGCTGTGTTGAAAATAGTATTCCCACTTATGAAATTATTTTAAAATTATTTATCATTTCTTTTTCAACAAATTGATCAAGACAAAGTCAAAACAAAGAATTTGTATACCACAGGACATCACTGGTAGAACATCATACATTTCAGAGACCTCAAGTGTACATATAAATAAACTGATCTGCGTTGAGACTACTTTCATATATTTATTGATATGAGATTATCAGAAAAATTATTTGATAAATTGTCAATCTTCAGGCAATCACTGTTTGAAGATATTTTAACTAGTCATAGCTGCCTGTGTTTTCATGTTGTTGTTCTGAAAACTCTTCTCAGCGTAACTTATTTTTCATGAATATTATGTACTGTCTTTTTAACTTATATTTAGAAGCAGAAATAGCTCTTCAATAATTCTGCTATGAAATTAGTCCTACATTTTCATAACAGTATAATTTGACAGATATAATCTAAACCTGAAATAGAGATTTTTAAAATAACTTTTTAATTTTCAGATGATATCAAACTTAAATAGAAGTTGTGAATGCAGTGTAAACAATGATTCCCCACCCCCCTGAACCATTTGAGAGTAAGTTTCCGACCTTATGCTCCATCACCCCTAAAATTTTGGTGCGTATTTCCTATAAGCAAGGACATTCACCTTAATAACCGCACTAGCACCATCAAAATCAGGAAATTAACATTGATATCTTACTACCATTTATACCTTAGAACCCATTTGAGTTTCACATATTGCCCCCAAAATATCCTTCATAGTAAAAGGCTCTAGTTCACAACCATTCCTTGTATTTAATTGCCACATTTCTTTCGTTTCCTTTGATCTGCAATAGTTTCTCGGTCTTTCCTTATCTTTTTGATCTTTACGCTTTTGAAAATTGCATGTTAATTATTTTGTAGACTGTTCCTGAATTCTGGGTATTTGATATTGCATCATAATTAGATGTAGGTTATGCTCCTTAGGCAGAAATTTCACAGAAGAGACACTTGTTTCAATGTGTCAGGTAGAGCAAGATTTGTCCTGGTGCTGATGATGATCACTTTGGTCACTTGATTAAGGTAATGTCCCTCAAACCCTGCCACTATACAGTTAGCCTTTGTAATTAATAAGTGTGTTGTAGAGGGGTATTTTGAAACTATGTAAAAATCCATTCAAGGAAATCTCAATTTATTCATTTATTTATTTCCATCAGATGGACTCATCGTTTCTTACTTTATTCAATGGGTTACAATTCAATAATCATGATAATTTATTTTGATGTTCAAATTGTCCAAGATTTGACCAGTGGGAGCTCCTGTCACCTAGCTTTGGTGTCCTTTTGATGTTTCCCATTGTACTTTAAGTACTTTCTTGCTTCTTAGCACAATAAGATGCTTCAGGATCATCTTTTCTTTCTCTGCCATGGCCCTGGAAGCAGTCATTTCTCTAAGGAGCTCTGGCTCCTTTTACAGTAGAATGATATATGGAAGCCAAGGTGTAGTCTCTAGGTACACTCATTGATATTGGGGATCACTGCTCCGAGGCCCTCTCCATGGACGGTCTAGAAAATATATGCACAGCTATTCATAAATATACATACTTACATCTACATTTATTTCTGTATGTATCTCTACATACAAAAACGATGATTTCGTCTCCAATTCCTATCCACCACTACAAGCTTCAGTCTAGCTTTCTCCCTTTACAGATCTGTAAATCCCTTCTCTAACAATGAGAAACAAGCTTTTTATTATCCTTATAGTTATTATCTTGACAAATCCTCTTCCCACATGGATATCCTCCTCAACCCCACTCAGCTCTGACTCCCTCTACTGGGCACCTTTCCTCCGTGAGCGTGTATGCTCCTTGTCCTGTTTCAGATCTGACACAGTGCCAGGTACCAGCTCTCTCTGTGGACACCCTCCTCCCCACAGTGGGCTCCAAAATGCCTCTCTGGGCTACCACAGTTCCTCTCTCATCCCCAGCACAGAGGCATACCTTTCCCTGAGTCACCAAATGGCTTCAAGACACAATTGTTCAGGAAGAGAAGTGGTAGAGTAAGGGCCAGTAAGTGAGGTTTATGGGAGATTTTGGAGAAGTTGAAGGGGATCATAATATGCCACCCCAAAATATGCCACTTTGGCGTAAGGATTATTTTAAACTGAAGGCAATTGAGAAAAAGCAAACATTAGAGGAGGTCTCTGCCTTCCCCCATCTGCCAAAAGTAGGGTATACATTTTCCTTGGGGAAGGTGCCCCCCTCTTTTCTCCCATACCAGGAGGGGAACAACCCTTATCACTGGAGCTGGAATGGTGGATGAGTAAACCTTACTAAAATAACACTTTTCTTCCATTGGTTTTTCCATATATTTACCTTCCCACAATGTACCCCCTTTAGAAGTCCAAACCCCTTTTCCTTTGTCGAGTCACTTCTCCACAATTTGTCACCCTTTGTTAAAATGGCAGACAAACCCTCAAGTCTAACAGCTTCTTTGACTTTTCACTTCTTTTCTGGGGAGCCCCACTTATGCAAAATGCCCTGAGTGCTGTTTTTGTCCTGTGCTAACCTAAATATTTCAATGGTTGGAAATTCTAAAGGGGTGAGAGGTAAGAGTGTATCTAAATGTGCATTATTTTAACTATCCTTTTTATTATTTATTTACTTATTTTTTGAGTTAATAGTTTTTTTTTTCCTTCCCCCTAACACTTTTTTTAAATTAGTTTCAGGTGTACAAAACAATGCAATAGTTATACTTTTCACCCCTCACCAAGTGACAACCCCCCTCCCCTGATATCATACATCTACTCCCCACACTATACTCCACATCCTGTGACTATATGTATTAACCATCTTCTTTAGGTTGATACTTCTCACACAGTCTCTGGCTCAGGTCCTAGTGGGGATTCACCTTTTCCAGCCTCTCTGGCTGCCACCTTCTCTGGGTTTGGATTTCTTGCAAACTCCATATCACTTAGATCATGCTCATGCAGAGTGACTTAGCCTTCTTCTAAACATATGCACAGCCATAGTTATCAGGCAGCAGGACTTATAAAGAACAACTAAAAGAATCCCCCCCATAAGCTTTTCCAAAGGATCACTATGTGTGATACTATTAGGATATGGGATGGAATACAAAAGGATATTGCAATTGAAATTGATTTTCTTATTGTGGTAAAATGTACATAACATAAAATGTGCCATTTTAACACATTGTGAGTGAACACTTTAATAACATTAAGTACATTTACATTGTTGGGCACCTATCACTACTATTCATCCAGAAGTTTTCTATCATCCCAAACTGAAAAAAAAAAAAAAGGCTAAATGCCACGAAATTGGTGACAATGCCTTAACAATATATATGTTGTGTAGGCCAGAGGGCCTCTTCCATCCTTGTCAAGGGGAGTGTTAAGTTTTTCCCCTTTTTTTCAATACTTGAGAAATTTCCTGAATGCCATAATCCCCTAATTATTTTTCTGGATCCAAAGCTGCCATGGTTATTACTACCTCACTTAAAAAAGATGGATTTAAAAAAAAAGAAGAAGAACCAGGAGAATAGCTGTTCTCACAGGAGTACCTTACTGAGCAAGTTCTATTTTATTGAGTTTTTATAGTTCTTCCACTTTATAAAAAAATTATAATTTACTGTGCTAAGAACACATAACATGATATCTATGCTCAACAAATTTTTAAGTGCACAATACAGTATTGTTAACTAAAGGTGCAACATTGTACAGTAGATCTCTGAAACAGTCATTTTGTATAACTGAAACTTATTTATACCTGTTAATTAGCAACTCCCCATGTCCCCCTGCCTCCAGCCCCTGGCAGCCACCATTCTACTCTGTGCTTTTATGAGTTTGACTTAAACATCTCATGTAAGTAGAATCA